CAGCATTCACTAAAACCAACAGTTGGCTGAATTCACTCTCTTCTTCGATCCTTTAGAAACGGTGTCACAGTTACATAGTTTGTCCGTCACACAGGTTTTATAACATCCTGGTCTGATTGTATCTTGGTCACAATGATCTGTATCAAGATTGTTTTGTGCACAGTATGTAACTTCTGCCACTTGGAGTCTCTCAATCAAAACAATCAAACAAAAGACAGAATCGGGTAATGTCGTGAAATAGCGTGGGATCATGGGAGTTCACCACTTCACCATAATTGCCGTCAGCTTCTCCCAGTTTGGATTCCTTCAGTGTCGGTGGTTCAGGAGGTTTTTACCGGCAGCCGAATTATCCACAGAGGTTTCCTCCTCTCTATAACAAACAGACCAGGGGATTAAAACTGGTAGAAACAACGAATAAAGCTGTTTCACTTTAAAAATCAGTGATTCACCGACACAGTTGGGCTGACACAGAATGTCTCTGAGCAGCTGGGAGCTGAGCTGTCTAACATTTGCTCTGCTTTTTTTCTCTGATAACTTCAGATCCAGACGTCCGATGACTAAAATCCTTCATCTGGTTAAAATACATAGTTGAAAACTTCCAAGGTGTAAAAAGTGTATCTTAAAAATGTGGCTTAAAACTGGATAAATGTCAAGTTTGAGCTTCTGGCAGGCAGCCACAGCGCTGACACATGCACAGAGGGGATATCACGTCTTCGACAGGCGACCAAATCAAACGGACCGTTCTATATGTTTGAGAATTGATGGAAAGATTTGGGATAATGTAAGAACACAACTCAATAACAATATTAAGGGTCTAGTTTTTTTTTTGACATTTTAATGTGGAAAAGTTACTTATAATAACTTTAATGTTAAATAAACAACTACCTGTCAATTATAATGTTACAGTTCTTTTAAACCTCCAAATACTGATATAACTATTGTTGGGCTGCATCTCTCTTCCTAGCTCTACGCTGCAGAACTAGAGCGATGCTGTATCTTTATTTCCGTGTCTTCCACACGGATCAGCTGGTGACTTTGTGCCTGGGGCGTGCAGCTTTAGCCTCACAGATCATACATTCACACGTACAAACACAAAGTCGTTCGCCACTTGTGAATCAGTATTTATGGGCGTCTGTTGCGTTGAGCATCTAATTTTACACACTCTGCTCCGACTAAACAGTTGTTATCTGACGTACACGCCGTCTCCAGACACAACAACAGTGTCGGCGTTTTGTTTCCACGCGTCGTTCCTCTATATAGATGCACCACAGACAATTGGGAATGAAATGAGAGGCTTCTTTTGTCTGAAATCAAGGAGCCATTGTTTCAAAGATTACTAAGAATTTGGATGGTAAATTTGTCACCGTTATCACTGTAAACTGCATAATTACCATTCAAATGAACTTGTCCTGAACACGTCCTGATAAAGGGGAAAGTTTCCTGTCAGCAAATGATCATCAGTGACTTGTACTAAATTAAAGTCAAATGCAGTTACCTAAAACTTTATTTTCATCACTTCTCCTTTCTTGGTCTGAAAATACTCGTCCATGGACTGCGCTACATAAATATCCTACATATTTAACATGCATATTAATATTTATAGTACAGTATATTCTTACAATCTCCACCGGCGAGCTGCCGGTGTGAATCCCATGTACACACCCTCACAGCGCCTCCATCTCTCTGATTAACTGTGTCTATCTTTAAATAACATCTGCCGAGTCTCCGATCTGCCGACTTAATTAACACACTGAGACGTGACGAGAGGTTCCCAGAGAGAGGGGGAACCATCGCCGTGTCCCGGAGGAGACCCGGGACACTCTGCTCCCAGCCAAAGCAATCAAATCTGGTTCCCTGGAAGACTGGCAGAAAGAGGGTCTTAGGACCGGGTTTACATCAAGATAAAGAGCCGGTTTTACTGCTCAGCTACATAATATAATCTTTTATCTGACTGTAGCAGCTTATTGACTAATTACAGGATGACTGTAGCTGCTGTCTGTTGTAGGATCAAGAGCCGTCTTGTTTATTTTTGTCCTTTAGCGCAGAGTGACAGAGGTGTGTGAAAGAAGATCTCGGTTATCTATGAGTCGACGCAGCACTGGACGGGAAGAGATCATGCTTTGCATTCTGGATGCCCATTTTTGCATTTTGATACCTGTGTCAGATATAGGTATTAACATTTATAGACATCCTTGTCTGCATTAGTTTTATTTTATTTTTTTTAGCCAGTCAAACTGAAAGTACTTTCAAAATAAGTCGATGCAATGATTCTTTCTGGTTTGTTTTCAGCTCAAAGCATTTAGATGAGAAAGTTGCATCTTAATCTGTGTATATTCTTCTATTTAAAGTAACACAGCTGTAATTGTCCATTTATGTCGCAAAACTCGATAATTATTCCAACAATTTTACATGTTTTTTTAAAAAAAAATCTGTCCTTGTTGTGAGCTGGAGAAGACGACTTGCTCATGCATCAGTCTTACGCTTTAATATTCTGAAGGAAAATGGCAAATTGGGACATTTCCAAACAGACAGTACATCTTCAGGCAAAAATCTGCTCCGAGTTTCTGTGGGTTTCCATGAGCATTCAGACGCACAACCAGACATTTATGGCTCGTTTCACTTTTAAACCAAGACCCTGGGAGCTTTTCATCCATACTAACGTTTGTCCAGAGCCTGCTGATCTCTGTATGTTGGAACAGGTGCTTCCAGGTCACCTTTGTTATCGTCGCCTCACTTCACCCTCTCTACGTCAGGGTGAAGTCTGACACACACACACACACACACACCCACACCCACACCCAGACACACACAGCCTCAAACATACTGTAACACCTTGCCACTTTTAGCCAACATCATTGCAGCAGGTCCCTCTGAGCTGCCTCCCTGACAGGTGTGAAAGTATCGTGAGAGACACCCAAACACTGGCAGCGGCTCCACAGCTTCACCTGCCAAACAAACATGGAAGTGTACCAACTCTGTGCACAGTATCGATCTGAACCCACACGATCTTGTTCGCTCCAATCAATCGGCCTGCAGTTTGTTAATCAGTCTAATCTTCGCTCTGTCATGCAAGTTGCTCAGCAACTGCGGCGGCATCGAATAGAGAGCGATCGAGAGTCTTTGCTGTGAGTTGTGACAACCTCTAAACCTTTACCGCCGATGAACAGGCCCTTCATCATCTCTGAGTCGCTGCGTTCACGGGGAGATGACAGTTGTCCACGTCTGTGTGGGCTTTGTTCAGCTCTTGTTATTTTAGAAGTAGAAACAAATTAGCATATATACCCTGTTTTTAAAAATACATAATTCCTCCCTGATTTTATCTCGGCCGCCCACACGCAGCAGTAGGTTTCAAGAACGACGCCCCCATCTCCGTCTCTGTCTGTCTCTCCCTCCTCTGCCTTTCCTGCATCCAGGTTACATGCTGCATTTCTTATTCAAGCCTTTTTTTCTTAACTGTTTTACAGCTATTCTTTTCAAATCACCGTCAGCGTTACTCCCTGGTTTTAGACGCAGCTGTGTTTTTGAGAGTGAATATCATTTAGGTCGCTTAAATCTCAGCATTGTGATTGTTTGTATGACATTATTTTGAGCATAAATCACTTTTAATAACTCTGCAGAGGAACATTGCAACAGGTCTATAATATGGAGCTTTCTTTAATATTTGCAGCTTTATTAGATTTCGCACCCGGCAGTCTTTATTTTAGTTTTATTTTTCATGCCAAGTCTTTTTTTTTTGCAGATACAAAGAGAACAGAATATGTTTATCTGGCCTTGTGTGCCACTTAACAACGTGACAAGTGAAGAGGGAGACTGTGTGCATGTGTTTAACACTTATGTGTACATTCGTTCATAAGCACACTTGTTCTCGGTGTGAACTCCAGTCAGTGGAAGTGCAACGACACAGCAGGAGAGTGAATTATGGATGTGCTAGGATCTGGGAAACTGTGTCTCTCACCTTCCTCTGATTAATCAAGTCCCTCAATACTTTCGCTTCTCCTTTCCTTGGCAGAACAGTGTTGGATATTTGATGTGGAGCTTTATCCACACATGGGCTTTTGTGTGTTTTAGCTGTGTTAGTGGTGGAGCTGTAGGAACAGCAATGTGAGTAGGTTGCTTGATCGGCTCACTACGATTGTCACAAAGTGTTGTAGTAAAATACATGTTCCCCAGACGATCCCTGACACCAGCATGAGGTTGACATTTTTGGTTTTTAGTGAAACATCTCAACATTAATTGGATGGATTGCTGTGAAATTTGATGCAGACATTCACACCTCTCTCAGGGTGAATTCTAGTTTAGTGGCATCATTAAGTTGAAGTTTTAATTTACCCAACACTTTGGTTAGTGTCTCACAGAGCTGTTTGTGTTGCCATGTGTTTTTGTCTTTTGTTATATCTTTATTTTACTGTATTTCTGCTTGAACTACGGTTGGGTGATTAATTCTAATTTGCACTTTTGCATGATGTATAAAATGTCTACTTTGTGAAAATCAAGATATTACAATTTGCACTGAAACGTTCCTTTTAGTAGTAAAATAATGTTGTCGATAGGTGGCTACGTTACCCTGTCGTGTCCTTCACTGTCATACTGTCTTCACATATGAGGTCCAAACATTGGAGCACAGCCTTATCTCTTCTTTCAGTTCTGAAACGGTTTAGTTGCATCTGTTTTTGTGTTTTGTTAACATGCATAATGTTCCCAGCTCAGCAGGTGGTCTTTCATGATTCTTGCTCAACAGTAACATTACATCCTAGAAAATAGGGTGTTTGAAACATACTTTTGCTTTGTCTGTTGGTGCAGTGGTGAAGCTCTAAATTTAGCTGTCTGTTGTTTTATCCATGTTGGTGTAACCAAAGCCTGTTTCTCCTCCTCACAGGCCAGTGTTTTTAGTTACATGCTGCATATTTCAGACAGCTTGACCACAGAGTTAAAGACACCGATTGTTCCATCTCTGCTTCCTTTCCCCATCTGTTTCTGCCTCTCTCTCCCTCTCTCTGCAGAGAACAGCCCATCTTCAGTACACGGGCCCACGTCTTCCAGATCGACCCAAACACCAAGAAGAACTGGGTTCCCACGAGTAAACATGCTGTCACAGTCTCCTACTTCTTTGACAGCACCAGGAATGTATATCGAATCATCAGTCTGGATGGATCTAAGGTGTGTGTGCAAGTCCAGCACTCACCCAACATGTGAATGTCACATTTCACACGGCTGATAAGAGATCAATTTTCTCTAGAAACTGTCTTGTATTTTTGACTCGTAATGTCATATTTTAATAAAACCTAAATGTCATTTTAAAGTCTGCATCGCTGGTAAATGATAAAATCTTCTGAGTTTACCTCATGGGGATCGATAAAGTTTTATCTAATCATCAGAAACATTCGTTTTTGTCAATTCATCCCACCTCCACACTTAGCTCGTCTGACTTGTCCGCCTCAGCCTGGCCTCTCAGTGCTGAGGCGGTGAAGGGGCGGTCTGCCTGTCATATCTATGTGGCAGTGATTATTTTAGTCTTGAGAGAGGTGCAGGGGTGGAGTTAGCATGGTTATGTAAGGGCCTCTCCGGGTGACTGTGTGTCTGTTGTTGAAGCAGCAAGTTAGCGGTGCTGTGTTCAGCTGGAAATAGCAGAGATTGGGTGGGCTGGTGCTGGAGGACATTATCATCCAGACAACAATAAGTCCTCTCAGCAGAGAAGAAGAAAACAAACACAGAGGCAGATGCCACACAAAGAGAAATCTGTCTGATTGTGTTGCTTTCCAAATTCCACCAGTGAGAAAACTTTTGAAATGTCTTTTCAAATGTGTTCCCTGAAAGTTTTGACCCTTAAAACAGAACAATGTCTGCTTGTTCATCCTCATCTTGTGTCTATCAGTTGTGCTGCGTTCAACTGAAGACAGATTTTTTTTCTTGTTGTTAGAATATTTAGTGACGCTACGTTTTGTTTAAAGTTTCCTGGAAAGTAGATTGACTGCAGTGTAGTTTACAGGAAAAAGTTCTTTAGTTAGTTCAATTAGTCGAGACTTCCAGATGAATTTCCATTAAAGAAATTGCTCCCTTTAAACCCCGGTGAATATTTATTACTCACTCATTTATTATTAAAAACTAGTTCACCTGCTGTCCTCTGAATAAAAGTCTGAAAGTTGTGCTGGCTAAGCATTTAGAAACAACAGGAAGTGAACCAACTGCTCACTCTGTATTTTACCTGTAATTACTGCAAAATTATACAGTTCTTTCCAGGAAACGTCTTCGGGGAATAAATGTGAATTTATGGATCTGTAATATAAAGCATTGCCAAAGTAAAAGTATTCAGTAATAAACTAAAAAGCAAGAGGGAGGTGTAAAAAACAAACAACATCAGTCTCAGCTGCATTTCAGTGGTCGCCTCTCCCCCTCCCACACTGATCAATAATATCACATTCTACCGGACTCCTCATTGACCACTTCCTGTTACCAAACAGTAGGACTACAAACCCACACACACCCACACCTACACACACACACAAGTCCCAGTAGATATCAGACATCCAGCTGCTGTAGCCCAAAGCAGCCGTCGCCACTCACAGCTGTAACTGATATATTTAATTTTACCTTTGAGTTTGAAATGACTCTGTGGCTCAGTCATGTGTTTTCTCCTCCACAGGCCATTATCAACAGCACCATCACCCCCAACATGACATTCACTAAGACTTCACAGAAGTTTGGGCAGTGGGCCGACAGCCGGGCGAACACCGTGTACGGCCTCGGCTTCTCGTCTGAAGGTCACCTGGTCAAGGTGAGAGCACAGGAAACCCCTTAGATAACAATTCTAATGTCAGTGTTTATGCTTTTTCAAAAGGCCATTTTTCAGTTAATGTCCCAGCCGTCTTTCTGTGTGGGCCTGAATGTAAGACGATATTGTTTTTTCTAGAAATTAGGTTTGAAAAAGTGGGAGTGGTCTTATATTTGAGGACAAGACAATTACATGTTCACATCAGATATTGTTGTTGAATGGAGAGAGCCCCAATGTGACACTGTCTTCTGCACAGAGTGTTTAATTATGGGTTGTTTGTAGCCTTCATGCTGCTGGGCTAGCGATTGTTTCAGTCCGTGTCAATCAGCCCTGAAAGAGTTTATATTGTGCAACATAATTCAACTCTTATCTAAATGTTTTCTACATATTTTATTTTATTTTACTTTTTTTTATTATTATTTGTCTTTATTTTTTTTTTAGAAATTATCTGCATCTTTTTGTTACTACGCACCAATTGAGGAGCAGCGCTCCTAATTTCCTTGTATATTACACTGACAATAAAGGCTTTCTAATTCTAATTCTTTAGCCCAGTTAAACCTGCAGGAGTTTCTGAAGGCTCAGTGAATTCATGACCGAAAATGAGTTTGTTCAAAACGCCTTCACTGCAGAAATGAACCAGAAAGAAAACAGTCTCACAAGAATTACAGCTGTAACAGAGGATGAGTTCAGTGTAGGAGCTGAAACTTGTAGCAGAGCGAAAACCACTAATGTGTAACCATGACACTAAAGGTTTATCTTATTATGTTCGGGCCTGTATGATTTTAGTTGCTCCTGTTACTTTTAGTTTGCAGATAAGTTTGCTGAGTTCAAGGAGGCAGCACGGTTAGCAAAGGAGAAGTCTCAGGAGAAGATGGAGCTCACCAGCACTCCCTCTCAGGTAACAAACACCTTCACCACCATCATATCCTCGCACACTTTTTACACTCTTTAAAGAAGTGAAGAAGAACTTCTACATCATGTTGTCGATGGGTTTCAAGTTTACAAACGATCGAGGATGCACAAGATTCAGGATATCACAGGATTTAGTAAAGTGATCGATAAACTGATCAGCTACACGGGACTTTAAAAGGAGAATCTGCACGTTTGTGATTTTTTTCTCTGAGATATCATAATTGAAACAACGTGATCAGTGATCACCTGGTCAGAGCATCCACCTCAGAAACTCATCTATATTCTCAGCAGTTGGCACTTAGCGATATTTGATTAATAGAATATCTTTGGTTTTTACTGGACAAGTGTCAATCCAACATGTAATCCATGCTACCCTGACTAACGTGTGTTAAGCTTGCTCAAGTTTTCCATTTCATATCTACATGAATTTAATAAGTTTAATATGTTAATAGTATAGTAGTTAATATGTTAATAAAGGTAGTAAACAAGCCTCCTGACATCAGCAAAGTGACCTGCCAGCCTGTGTGAATCACTGCTCATTAGAAACAGATGAGAAATGAACGTATTCATGTGCGACAGCTCCTTTAGCTCAACGTACAGGTTGTTTTATGTGTCACTCACATGATGCTGTTGCAGCCTCTGAGCGAACACCTTGTGGCTTTTTCACCTGCTTTGCTCTAACGCTTCCTCCTCAGGGTGGCGCTGTAAAAAGGAACGAGTTGTCAGTCAACAAACCTGGTAAAAAGAAGGTAAAAAGAAGCGGAAAGAATCTTTTTCATGACTCTGATCCAGTGGCCCCCCCCCTTCTCCCCCAGTCTTACCTTCAGTCAATGATAGAAGCTCCACCACTCCCCTCTGGTGTCTCCCCTGCAGCGTTTCTTCTGTGGGACATTAAGGATTGAAATGTGAGAGCACAGTGATGGATCTGACAGCCCGGGCTTATCACCTATTGTCATTGTTTTGGTATAATCAGCTGGTCTTTCTTTTTGGGGACCTCCCTGTCATCAGTCTTTAACAACCTCGTCTGTCATCCTGATGTCAGATTAACCAGAGGAACCCCCCCACCCCGTCTCCTGAAACCTCCCACTGACGACAACCCTCCACTTCTCCTTTCATGCTCTCAGAAAATGACAGTCGGATATAATTAGAGATGTTTGAGCAGCTGCCAATCACGAGTGACAACTATTATTACAGATGAATAAAAAAAGGGGCACAGGGTATTTAGAATATTTTTTTGTCATGGTTTCAAAGTGTTTGTGCAGAAGCTTTTCTTTGAAGCTTTTAGCAGTAAAACTAAAAAAACAACAAACAGCAAAAACTTCAACAAGGAAAAGTTTTTGTGTCCAGCAAACATGAGGAGTCTTAACAGTAGGCTCATAATTCAGAGCGTCTCTTGCTGCATTTCAGCAGAAAATCCTGTTAATTTTTGAGCGCATGGAGTCATTAACACTTTGTCACATGTTGTGCCTGAAAATCCAAGATTAAAGGACTAATTTGATTTTTGGGAAAGACGCTTATTCTCTTTGTTGCAGAGATTTTAAATGAGAAGATCGACACCACTCTCATGTCTGTAGCGTAGCTTAGTTTAGCACTGGAAACAAGGGGGGGGGAGGGCAGCTAGCCTGGCTGTCCAAAGGTAACCAAATGTTCCTACCAGCACCTCTGAAGCTCAGTAATCAACATGTTATATGTCCTTTGTTTCATTTATAGTGAGATTCGCATCATTTGTACGTAAAAGGCAAAAAACGGAAACATGCGAGAGGGATTAAATGTGTCTTGATCCGTCCTCAAACATCACTGTTGTAAATTCATCTCTTAAACTCTGTTTAATACAAAACACAGTGAATGAACCAATTTTCTGATCATGTCAGATCTGTCTGAACAAAAGATGAAGAGGTTACAAGACACAACTTAACATTTTGTCATTCAGAGCTTGTGCACTGTTCAATAATATGTTTTCACCTCCAACTGCTGCAGTCTGAGGGAGAACTGAGAACACTCTTCTTCTTCCTTCATATTATTACTGCTGAAGCCGTTTGTCTCATCTCCTGCACCAGGTGCCACATAATGTGCGAGCATTGTGGCTCTTTAGTAAAGAACATTTACATAAAAGATAAACATGACTGCCAAAGAGACGTTATTTTAACAGATGAGTGAAGCCAGCAGTGTTATGTATTCCATATCTGAAAAGTGCTACAGAAATAAACTGAGATATAACGTGTTCATTAGTGAACTTTAGAGGTGCTGGTAGGAAGATTTTGGTACCTATGAACAGAGCCAGGCTAGCACTTTCCCTCCGTTTCCAGTCTTTATGCTAAGCTAAGATAGCTGGCTGCTGGCTCGATATTCAACAGACTCATCTCATTCTCATGGGGTTCTCAGCATGAACGTGAATGAGCACGCTGCCTCAGACTGTTGATGATGATGATGATGATGTTTTTACTTCACCACTGTGTCAAATCAGGAGTCAGCTCCGGGTGACCTGCAGTCACCTTTGACCTCAGAGAGCATCAACGGTACAGACGATGAGAGAGTCACACCAGACACACCTCAACACACAGAAGCCAGAGCAGAGCCTTCCCAGAATGCACTGCCCTACTCACACAGGTAAACCGCAGCCAGGAGTGTTAAACATCAACAAATATATCTCTCTCTTGTTACAGTTGTTGGAGTCAAGGCTTGACTGATTCAATTCTTTCAGATTCCCTTTTGTTAAATATTAAATTGCTTTTTAATTGTTCACACATCCTGATGATGACATGATCACACTGAGCAGTGTAAACCAGAGTGTGACATGTCCGTTGGCGTCTCGTTCTCGCTCTCTCTCTCTCTCGAGCTGATTTAAAATGAAATTGGCACAGCGCAGCAGAGAGCGCCGCAGCTCCTGTTGAATATGTCGATTCATTCATTCATTATTAATCTGTCCCCCAGGCCTCTGGACAGCATTAAAGCATTACATTAAAACACTACACGCATGCTTCCTATTAATTATACACCACTGAAACGAGTGGAGATAGTTCTGCGCTCCACGTCGGCTGAGGCGTCGGCTGTGCTGCAGGGGATTTTAATGCAGCAGAAAAACTTACTTTAAAGAAACTGTTAACGTTTATTAAGTCATGTTCTTTATAGTGCTCCACATTGTAGGTTACAGCTGTTCATTATGTGTCTGTCAGATACATTTCTTCTTTCATTTGTTCTACGTTCAACAAGTGAGCAGCTGTTGTTTTTTTCAATATAAACATGTGTAAAGTGACAGAGGTTGAATTGTAAAAACATTTCCTGATTATTATCTATTTTTCTGCAGTCGCCCTGAGAGCTCAACGCACTGCGACTTAAGAAAACACATGCAAACAGACAAAACACAGATAACTTCAGAAAATACTGCAAACGCTCACAACACAGCGGAAGTGTTTCCAGGGGACACTAAAAAATGACGAACCTGGCTGGTCCGTCTGTATGTCTCCAGATATCTCAGTAACGCTTTGACTGAACTTCTTCAGATTTGGCACAAACATTCACTAGTACTCCTGAATGAACTGATTCGATTTTGGGGGGTCAAAGGTCACGGTGACCTCACAAAAAGGGGGTTTTGGCCTTGTGGAGGCAATGTCTCCGTAACACCTTGAGGGAATTTCTTTAAATTTGGTAAAAACGTTCACCTGGACTCAAAGAGTAACTGATTAGATTTTGGTGGCTAAAGGTCAAAGGTCAAGGTCAGTGTGACCTCACAAAACACTTATTAGCCATTACTCAAGACTTCACACAGAAATTATGACAAAATTTCACACAGATGATTCATACAGTATCTTATATGACTCTGGATAAACAGGGATGTAACCTGAAACTAGTCTGAGTGGCTGCGGCAGACAACCGTTAATTATTAAACTTTTTGTTTGTTTTTGTTTTTTTTTTAACTTAAAATAATCTTTTTGTGCATGTTATAACTTGATTTCCACAAAGCAGGCATTTACCCATCCTGCAGCTCAAACTGAACCCCCCCCCCCCCACACACACACACACACACACACACACACACCTTTCAGTCTTGGGATTTTTAGAATAGATTTCAGATCATTGTTGTTGTTTTTCACCATCTCGTGACGTTTTACAGACCAAACGATTCATCAGATGAACTGATTAATCGATAATGAAAATCAATGTTAGTTGCAGTGCTGCTGACAGTCTGTCGTCTTTGTCTCCTCTTCACATCTCTCCAGTTCATCCAGCATCAATAAGCACTGGGAGGCAGAGCTGGCGGCTCTTAAAGGGAACAACGCCAAACTGACAGCGGCTCTGCTCGAGTCCACAGCTAACGTCAAACAGTGGAAACAGCAGCTGGCGGCCTATCAGGAGGAGGCGGAGAGGCTACACAAACGGGTATAAAACACTCCAAAGTAGAAAAAAGTCAGACTTTAAAGAACATGTCTGGTTTGTTTGAAGTTATTTTTTCACCGTGTCGTGATGAAGATTTATTTTTGTCTTCCAGGTGACGGAGCTGGAGTGTGTGAGCGGTCAAACAACGGTGATCAAATCTCAAAAGACAGAACTTAACCAAACGATAGAGGAGCTGGAGTTGGCTTTGAAGGCCAAAGAGGAGGTGTGTCAGTGAACTGTGAGCTCTTAAACATACGCATCTTATTTGACCTTAATATTGACTCTTTTTAAAAATGACTTCCAGGAGTTGGAGAGACTTAAAGCAGAGGTGGAGAGTGCCAGTGAGTTTCAGTCTCAGAAAGACTCCCTGACACAGAAGCTACAGGTGAGTGAAGCTCTGAACTTACAGGTACATGTTGTTGCTAAATGCTGCATTCAGTGTCCACAAACTGTCACCGAGTCCAGCAGCACAGTGTAAATAAAATCCAATATTAACATTACTACAGTCATTACAGATATTTATATGTTTCTTGAATGCAGATTTTTCATACGGATGTAAAAACCACACTTAAATCAATGCTCAAAACCCAACCTACACATAAACACACACACACACAGAAACAAGAAGTAGTTCATCTTAAAGGGATAGTTCATGTTCACCTGCAGTAGATTCAGATCAGCTCCCAGATTAGAGAGGCAGCAGGAGCACCGGCACCGAAGCTGAGTGATGAGCCGCTGTGGACGGGAACAACAAAAAAAGTATTTTAGTCACTTAGTCACAAAACTAATATCAGTTTAAGTGTACACTTTATTATGAACATTTTCACCGTTTTATCTTACGTCAAACAGCCCTACGCACAAGCACAACTACGCTTTGCTCCGTCTGAATCAAATTCAATATATATACAGACCAGTTTATTAGGAACACCTAACACCTGCTTATTCATACCATTAGTGTAAAGCATAAAATCCTGCAGATTCAAAGTTCAAAGTATCTTTATTGTCCCCTACAGGGAAATTGATTGCAGCCAGGCTATACATGAACACACATACAAGGACACACATAGCACCAACACTTACGGACATTAACAAACAGCATGCACCAAGAACAAGTGCACTCAGGTAGTCACTTTGCATTGTGCAACCAGAGAAGTCACTGTTCAAAGTTCAGGAGTTGGGGAAAATGTGACTCAGTGACTTTGACTGTGGCATCATTGTTGTAAATGAGAGACTTCAGTTTTTGATTTTTAATAAATATGCAAAACTTTCTTTAGGGTTGTTGACCGATATCTGTAGTTAAATCTACAATAAAGTTCAAAAAGTGAAGGGGTGTGAATACTTTCTGAAGCCAGTGTAGCTCAGTGTAGTTCAGCTCTGAGTTGATATTTTGTGAATATTGAAATAAATGTTTTCCCTCAGGATACGGAGTCGAGGAACCAGACTCTGGAGGCCCAGCTGAGCGACCTGGAGCAGCGTCTGGAGAGCAGCCAGCTGGAGAGAGAAGCCTTTCGCAAGAGTCTGCGCTCCCTGCTGGAGCTGCTGGACAGCAAGATCTTCGAGCTGACCGAGCTGCGGGACACGCTGACCAAACTCATCGAGGGTAGCTAGAGAGACAAACACACCTCCACCTACAACACCTACACCACCAACACAGCAGCGGCCAGTGTTCAGAGAGCCACTCTAAAGAAGACACCACCTGCATGTTGGCACTCACACTCACCGACATGTAAAACAACTTGAATTCTCTCTCTTTTTTTTTCTTTTTCCTCCACATGTATACGATACGTGTAAAAGATGTTTACACACAACTTTATGCATTAACGGTTCACACATTTTGCTACGTCCACATCGTTTACAATCAGCCAAGTGAAGAGGGCTTTGCTTGGGCCATGCCTTCCCTCCGCTCCACTCTGGATTATTCTTGACTCTCTGACGACACAAACTCTGAATGAATCTGTTTTTATTTATTTTTTTGTCTCTTGAACATCATTCCGTTTGAGCAGACGTTAAAGATTTCTGTTTGCTTTTTGCTCCTTGAGACTTTTTGAGCTTCGCTTTGGTGCATTTTGTCGTCACCTGGAGCTTGTGATTGTTCCCGTCTTCTTTTATTCTGTTCCTCACTTTTCTCATCGTCAGCCAAATGAACAGCTATGAGTCCGATGAGACGGACTCCAGCTTTTCTTACACTTTTTTTTTTTTTTTTGTTATTTGAACTCTGGAGGGTCGAATGTGGTGAAGAGATGACTGCGAGTGTTTCCTCCTGTGACAGAAATCCACCGTTGGACTGCCAAACAAAGAAAAAAGGCGGAGGAGGACGATAGTATGTCTTATATTCTTATACAATATATGAGCAATACAAAAAGGGAGCATCAGAGGGTAAATAAACACTTTCCACTCTCACTTTCAGGTAATTTTACTCCTCTATCTTGGATAGACCACAAGCGAGGCGGGATTTTATTCAATAGTCTTTCTTTCTATATCCTTTTTTTAAAGAATACTACTATAACAAACTCATAGTGCACTTGTAAAAATGGAGTTTGTGTGTGTGGGTGAATCAGATGATCTTCTTTTCTTTCCCTTATTGTTTCTGTTGCGACTTGAAGTGCAATGATTTAATCCTTTTTTTTTTTTTTGTTAATTTATTACTAAAATAACTAAAGATTAATTATGATGAACGTTGTACAAAAGCAAAGATCTTTATTTACATCTCGTTTTCACTTAATCTTTTTTATCGTCTGGTACGTGGGTGTTGAATTACGTTCTGTTTTTTGTTGTTTTTTTTTTTGGAAAAACTGGCAATATTTTTGATCTATTTATCACAGGAAGTGGAAAATTCATCAGGAGATCGAAGGGGTGGATTTGCAAAGAATTATTTTTTTTCTTTTGCCAAATGTTTTCCTGTACAGATTTGAATTTTTTGCTGATGTTGCCTTTGGTACAGAGATGCATCAACGGTAGCTAGCTAGCGGTACTTTTCTTTTTTCCTTTTTTTTTGTGGGATTTACTATTGCCAAAAATTGAGCGACGTTGAGAGGAACAGAGTACGAACACCTGAAGAACACTATTTAAGGGCTTGTTGTTGGTTCGGGTACATTTGGGAGACTTGAATGATTTTAGCGGTGACTTTATCTCGTTAAGAATATTACAGCTCGAAAAAAGGGAAAAAAAAAAAAAAAAAAAAAAAAACATTTGAATAAGACTTTTAAATGTTGAGTATACCACATGCTTAAAGACACAAATTGTAATTTTGAGTTTATAGTAAAAGAAAAACAAACGAGAAAATCGAGTCGTCCTGTCGTTCTTTCACAATCATTGGGTATTACATTTCCATCATTACAAAATCAGTCTATGATAGTGATTTGTTCAAAACAATGTTGTTGAAGTTTGCTGAACAATACAATATCTTAACGATGCCCAGAATTTATCAAATGATATGACAGACAGCTGACATGATGATGTCTTTTGTTAATATCGCAGCTTGTGTTGAACAGAAAATCAAATGCAATATTGCCAAATAACAGTGGTGCCATGTTGTGTCAAGTGTAGGTACATAATGAGATTAGTTTAGCGAAATGTCCAGGCTACACGGTACCTTTGGTGTGGGCTGAAGTATCCAGTCTTCTCTCCTTCATCCTCTTCTGACAACCAGACATCGTTTAAATCAAATGTTATTTCTGGAAATATTTTAATCTTTTCAAAGTTCGTTACAATCTAAGCTAGATAACGGCCGTTAATGTAACGCCGATTAACGGTTAATGGAACACCTGTGAGGCGGAGTGATACATGTAGTTAAAAGTCCCGGCGCCGTTATACTCTTATCATGGAATTCCTCTCGTCCAGTCAAATTACTTGGTCGGAACTAACTGTTGTATAACGGCTAATGAAACGCCCGTGGAGCGGAGTGATACATGTAGTTAAAAGTCCCCGCGCCGTTATACTCTTATAATGGGATGCCTCTCGTCCAGTCAAATTACTTGGTCGGAACTAACTTGTATAAAAACTATTACAAGTTTATAAATGCTAAATAAAAATAGTGGTAAAGGAAAATGTAACTCGTGTTCTGCGAAATCCTGAAAACTGACATTACCTGTGTGATTTAATGAAAGAACATTCAAAGACATTTTGGTGCTTATTTTTATTTTGAAAGGACAAAAAATATATATAATAAGTAGGATATAGAAAGCAGAGAGGAATGTCATGATAGGAAACAGAAAGTGACAAAAAAAAACCTTATAAAGTACATTTACATTTGTATGCTTTAAAAATTCTTTAAAATATGAAGTTTCAATAAATACTTCAATACATTTAGGCATGCGGATATATTTTCCATGATTTACATTTTCTTACAGTATAATTCATAAAATGACTTTGTCATCTTCATTATTGCACTTACGTTGTGATGGGTTCGTCCTCAAACCGGTCACATGCATAAGGTCATAAAGGTCACAGGTCAAACTAGTGTCATGTTCAGGGAGGAGAGAAAATCTACGAGTCACAATTTGAATTCTACAAATGTTAAACAAACAGAGGTTAAAAAAACACATGAAAGCCAAATAGAAAAGGACTGCGAGAAGTGTGAGGGAGTTACTGAGCAAAGTCAAATATCTGTTGCCAAGGTTACAGTTACACCTGATCTAAAAAAATGTTTAATATCAGTAAACATCTGTGTTTTACAGACAAATCACAGGAATGTGTCGCACTGCGTGAGAAAATGTTCAGTGTCATGGCAATTTTAACTAGGCAGCAGTTTATTTGTTTGATAGCTGTAACTCTGTGTTTTCAGCAAGTTTAACATTAAGAGAAATAAACTTTTTTACCTTTATTTGGAGCTGGATGAGAAGATCAATACAACTAGCAGCCTGTTAGCTTAGCATAGCATTAAGACTGGAAACAGAGGGAAACAACTCGCCTGGTAACGAAATCCACCTACCAGCATCTGTAAAGATCAGTAATTAACATGTTTTATCTAACCTGTACAAAACCAACAAGTTGTGGTTTTACCTGAGTGTGGAAAGTAAAATTCTAATGTTTTAATCAGCATCAACAATGTATAGAAGCTAATTTGCATCAGTAAAAGAACAAAAGTACTCATGATAATCATGGTAAATCAAAATTATGAGATAAAAAGTCAAACATTTCCCACAGTAAGTAAATTTTTTTGACTTTTTAATAATAAATTTGCTGTAAACTGAAAATTATGAGTTAAAAAGTCAAATATTTGACATTGTAAGTAAAAAATAACTTTTGTAATTAACTTATTTTTATCTCTTAATTTGATTTACCATGAATATTTTTTAATCATAAATTTTTTTTTCTGACAGAAATGGACTTCCACAGTGATGTGTAAAAGATCAAATAAATAGGAGAGAGTCAGATCCGTCCACTACAGTTCTATCACATCTATCAAAATTTGTGACTCTTTCTGTTCCAGGGTAAATTTGGTAAACAGCTATGACAATTTGCGACCCTATCTAAATGTAAATACACTTTAGGGACACTATTTACAGTAACACCAATTAAAATAAAGCAAGTTAATTAAGTATAATAAATTAATTTGCATTGTCAATAGAGCTGAAATCCTTTATTATTTGGAGACTGACTGAGACTTCCTGTTTCCAGTCTTAATGCTGAGCTTCTCATCGACAAAGAGAATAAATGTTTAAATTTCTCCAAATGTTGAACTGTTCCTTTAAATGAAGCTGTGATATTCGGTGCATGACTTATTAAATACAGGAGAATGTGAGTTTAGTTTTTCAGTTACAGATGGGTTTGACACTGTTCATACATCATAAGGTATAAAATCACACGTACACGACAAACTCAAAACAACAACTCCATTAAGGAAAACAAAAACAAGGCAGTGGAAACATAAAGAGAGAGAGAGAGAGAAGAGAGAGAGAGACTCGGGTAAATAAAAAAAAAAAAAAAACAACAAACAAAATAAACAAACATCACATATGACCCAAATGTTGTCAGGCGTGTAGAGCAGGAGCTGCGTCTGTCACCAGCAGAGGGCAGTAAAGTTTTCAGCTGAACAAACAGGCATCAATGTGCTGCATCTAAAAACGTCCCTTTATCATGAGTCCACACTGCTGCACATCTGTTTATATGTGTGTTTAAAGCCTTTTAAAAAGAGTGAGGAAGCTGCTGTTAAACACTAAATAGGGGTATTTGTAAATCGTAAACATTTCCCCACTTCCTCTTTATTTGTTAAAGATCTTGTGACAGATTTTTTCAATTAATTGATTTTGTTTATAAAATAGAGAAAATTGCCCGTCAATTTCCTAAAGCCCAAGTTAATATGTCAGACCAACCAAAAAACTGTATTATATTATAATACATAATATTTAGTTTCAATATTATAAAACAGAAAAAAAAGCAGCAAATCGTTGCTTTTGAGAAGCTGCGACCAGAAAAAAATCTGAGTCTTTGCTTGAAAAAACAACTTAATAAATCGATTATTAAAATAATTGCAGATCACTTTTCCGTCCATCAATTTAAGTAATCGTTAGAGCTCTAATCATAATATCTGGGAAAAAAAAATAAAAATTTCATGACCACCGTTTGTCATGTGTTACCGGGTCTAATTGGGTCTAATTTAATAGTGGAGCTCAGTATTGATCAGAGGTCATATTACTGTTTATCCATTTGCCCATTTTTTTCAATTCAGAAAGTGACAGTAAAAACAGCCCATCAGAGAAATCTAGATTCAAGTAATCACTTATATTTCAATAGGCTCTGAAATATAAATGTTTTATATATTTACTCAAAATACTGACCTGGTGTTAACGGCATCTTTAGAAGATGAAAAGCAGAAGATGCACAAGTCAACGGGTAAGGTTTTATATGAAGAACTACAGCTGTTTTCATGCTAATGTTCCCACTGTTGTTTTATATCTTTATCTCTGGAAATACAGCGTCTGTCTTCAGGCTGCTCCTCGCGAAGTTAAAGTAAAGCTCCCAGCTTCTTATAAACTCGCAGAATGAGCAAATATTTAAGTTTACTTTGTGTTTCTGATCCAGCTGGGCCGAGCCTCAGTGTGATCCTGTGTGGGCTGGAGGTAAGAGGTTTATTTGGATCACATCCTAACATGAACTTTCTCATCTACACTCTGCAGTTCTATCAGCTACAGCACGTTAAACTGTGAGTTCAGATCTGGCTCGGAGAAGGAGGAGCGATTTTTGATGTTAACTGTGGCCCCTTCAGTTTCTCCATGTGGAGGCCTCACAGTCTGAAAACCTCTCAACTAGATGATATGATTTTTTTTTTTTTTTTTTTTTTTTAAATATCTTTCCTCTTGTTACATCATATTTTCCTTTACATACATCTGTTTCTATTCGTATCTATTCATTGTTTGTAAAGTGAAAATGCTAAAACATGAATGGCTGATTCTCCAAATGTACAAGTCAATGCTGGTTTTGGTTTTCCTTCCACCAGAGGATGAAAATGAGCCAAAATCCAAACTGTGCAACTATCAATCCTGTGGCAGCTCCACCTCTAGTAAGTAGAAAATTAAAGGAATAGTTCAACATTTTGGGAAATATGCTTATATTTTTTCATTTCTATATGCAAAATATGAAGCCACATTCAGTAACTGCATTTCCCAAAGTATC